CTAACAAAATCTGACAATTCGAAAGAACCTTGAGTTCTAAGCATGTTGAAGCACAAGATAATTATTGTGCTGACCGTTTTCATCTATATAGTACTCTGTGAACACAAATTAGTTAGCATAAATCAGTCAAATGACGAAAAATTAGGTGTCTACTTACTTATGACCACTCAGTGTTTATATATATAAAACATGGCTTGAATGAACTCGGATGGTGACTTCAGAGATAAAAGCTAAATCTGCAAAAAAAAGCTGTGAAGAAATTTCACCTAACTTTTCTCGAAAATGTATTTCTTAAAATCAATACAATTTTGCAAACGTTATGGGTCAAAATATTACATTATAAAAAGCTAAATTTCAAGTTGACTACGGAGGTTTTGTCTACAATGTGCAAGTAACTCCACTTCTGGGGTAATATATCCGGCAGTGGTTGATTGAAGGACTTACTAGACTATGCAGTCTAATTGCTGAACTGTATTTTTGGTTGAAGGAAATTGATTTATTTTGCACATCTTTACTTTTGGAAAGCTCTTGTTAAGGAAATGAAATTCATGGAAAACATACATGCAAGAAGTTTATAGAAAATTGCTCTAATGCTAAAAACCAAAGATGTTTATGTCATATGAGATTTTACAAGGGTATATTTTGGGACCTTTGTTATTTATTATGTAAATTATTTGGATAGGTATATTATTTAATGCAACAATTGTATCGACATTATATATATGTATATATATACATATATATATATATCTCATTGGTTATATTGCACAATTAACATCTGACTTAGTCAACGTGTTTGAAAGAGTAAAATTTGGTGAAAATAGATACTTAATAATGATTATGAATCCCTGAGTATTGATGCAGCCCCAGTACCTTCTGTAATGTTTCTTGTCATTTAGTTGAAGACATTGTAGTGATCCTGTAAGATACATTACTCAATTAGTGAAATTTCCAACTCTTTGGTGGTTAGTTGTGTGTTAAGCTATTAATGTACATGGCACCTGAGATCTTAAGCCAGTGATTCCTTTGTAAAGTGTTTTTAAATGTTCTTGAGGAAGTAATTTTGTATAATTTTTATGCTTAATAATAACATCAACGTTGTTTTTCTTGTGTGGTACCTAGTACATCTGGTTATGATGTTTCAAGGTCTTTAAATATCAATAAAATTAATAACAAGATGCAAAGATGCACTCATTAATAAATAGTTTGAAATAAAAAAGTGATAGTAACATTAGTGTTCAAAGCCTGATTACCAATAAAGATCCAAAACTGTCCATATCGGATTTTGATAAAACGTTTTACAATGACAGATATTATATATATATTACATTACTTTTGATATAACCTTATCACATCATAATTTCCAAGATAGTGGACATTAATCAGAATATATTTTCTAAGTCAATAAAGTCTGAAATAGTTACAGAAAAAAAAAGTCATGTGTATGTTAAAAAACCCAAGATGATGCGAATGTGTCTATCCGTACCCACTTTTATTATCGCCTACTTCAAAAGCCTGTATTTGTGACCACTAATATTTCTACATTTGATACTGTACTCTCTTGATATTCGTACCTTCAAACACAAGAAAAATTTTATCATAAACATTTCCATATTGCCAAATAATTTTGTGTGATTAAAAATGAACGTTTTATTCGCTATATGTATATTAAAACCTAATTCACTAATTTACTAAGTCTTTCTAGCATTGCTGATTTTACATAAGAAGTGACATCGTTCATCTGGAATGTGTTTCATATTATCTTTACAGAAATGACTACTCTTAGCTTTGCTAACAATAATAAAAGGCACATCCGGGGTGTGAGGTTATAAGAAGCATTTATGTGTATCAGACATGTAGCAATCTCATACAATTGTTTTTATTAGCCCCCTAGTAGCACAGCGGTATGTCTGTGGACTTATACTGCTAGAAACCGGGTTTAGATGCTCGTGGTGGGCAGAGCACAGATAGCCCTTTATGTAGCTTTGTGTTTAATAACAACAAACAACAACAACATTTTATTTAGTAATTCTAGTGAGGCTGTGATAGTCGTTATTACCTAAGGCTGAAGGATTGCAAAAATCTAGGCCTTGCACGCATTGATGACTGGTTTGGTTTGGTTTGAATTTCGCGCAAAGCTACTAGAGGGGAACCTGCGCTTGACGTCCCTAATTTAGCAGTGCAAGACTAGAATGAAGGCAGCTAGTTATCACCACCCACCGCCAACTCTTGGGCTATTCTTTTATTAACGAATAGTGGGACTGATCGTCACATCATAACGCCCCCACGACTGAAAGGGTGAGCATGTTTGGTGGAACAGAGATTCGAACTCGCGACCCTAAGATTGCGAGTCAAGCACCCAAATCACCTGGCTATGTCAGGCCCACATTTAAGATATGTCTTTTATACATTTTCTAGTGGCTGCAATGGTTCAATTGTATTGAAATGCATTGCACCAGATGTATTCGAAGCTATGTATTTTCAAATATATCCTTTTTTACAACACCTCTGGTTCCTAAGTGGGACAGCGGTGAGTAAACGGACTTAGAATTCTACAATCTGGGGTTTGATTCCCCGCGATGGATGCAACAGATATCTCAATGTAGCTTTGCTTTAAAACAGACAAACAACACCTGCTGGCACGACTAGAAAAACGGACGTCTATGCGTCTCTTTTACTACTACACAACAAACTTGTTGCAGTAGGTACTTGGTCTGCATATCTGCAAGTTGATAAATGTAGTTTGGAGGGAAAATGACTAAAGGCAAATCAGAAGATTCCTGATCTCCCCTTCTTTACCATTTTTCTCTCGTGAAAGGCCAATCTGCATCTACAGCACATGATGCTTCCTGTAGATTTCTACTTATTTTGTACATGAAACACTACACTTTAGTTGCAATTTGTATCATGTTATACTCAGTTTTAGAGAACACGTTTGGACTTGATGAAATTAACTTTTAATTTCATATTGCAATTTGTGTGTATTTGCCCCACATCCAGCTTTTCGGTTGTGTTATCAACAGCTGAAGCAACGTTGGCTAATAGCAAATCCTTTCTACTTCACATCATTCAACAGACCCTTTTAAAGCGCTAAAACTCCATCAAAAAGTTTCAATTTCAATACGTGAATGTATTATAACTATGTTGCACCTCCAAGCAAGTACTAACCGTGCAGAAGTTTTATCCAACGCTACAGTTCACCAAGAGTTTTGTTTTCAACAAAGATGTTTACTTTCTTCGACATTCCAAAGGCTAGCTTTGCCTGAAATATTCAAGCCAGTAATTGGTTACGAAGTGCACCTCCCTTAGTGTGAATACACTTAGTGATGCGTATTTTAAAACCACACCTTCTCGCCATTTCTATGTTGTATGTTTTGCCTTCAGAGTTCTATCGACCACAGAGTTAGAACATGCTTCGAACTGAATTCTCCTGTGTATAACATTCCATAAAAGTATAATTTCCATTCCCCAAGAGGATCATTCCAAATTAGATTATATCATTTTCCTTACATCTGCTGTGTCAAATTGCAAATTGGGAGCATAATGCTATCAATGTGGCGCGTACGAAGTGTTTGTTTTTGTTAATGGTTGTAAGCATGCAAATGTTAAACATTATTTACAGCCTTTGAAACTACATTTTTATTCCATTTTATTGTTTTGTGATGCGACAGGTCATTTCAGGTCATTAAGAACAGCTTAATCTTTAATTACTATTTTAATCCTATTTATATAAGAATAGCAAGTTTAACTGTTATTATGTATTGAAAAATTTTATCGTAACTGTAGATTAAAAACATTTTTTATTCTTACTTTTTGTGTTTAAATAATGAAATGTAACTTCAGTAATTTATGCGAGTGTCTTATTTTTATATGATTTTGCTTTATCGATTATAACAACAGTATTACAAATGTTATGTAAATAAAATGACCTAAACAGAAACCAAATACGTTTAAACGTATAAAGCAGTTTTCAAATGACATGAAACAGCATCAAAATTGTCAACTGAAAAAACCGTCTTACTAAATTAGGATTTCTCATGTATTCTTTTTTTTTTCAGTCGTTAAATAATTAATCATGCTTTGCATAACCATCTAAAAGTGGGATAAGAAAATTAATGAAAAAGATTATTTATAGGTGTTATATTTCTTGTGTTGATTGATCAAAATGTGTTAGAAATATAAAGGTGGTAACATTACAAGGCTATTTATTTAACGATTTATATATCAATTTGCTCCAGTAAATAATATTTAACTGCGAACTTAAAACATTTTGCCCTGTCTTTATAAGAAGGAACAAATATGTTATATTTGTAATGCGTTACCAATGTTTTTATATAAATAAACGGCTTAGTCTTATATTTTATGGATATTGGTATATTAATGAAGATTTGAATATTTTTATCACGAATATTTAGTTTCTTTCTTTACAATTTCAGGTTGTGCATTCGTGAAGTTTGGTTCACATTCTGAAGCACAGTCAGCTATCAGCGGACTTCATGGTAGTCAAACGATGCCAGTAAGTAAGCAGATAGATATACTGGCGAATGAGTTCAAACTTAAACAGCCAAGATTTTACAGATATATTAAATGATAGTTGGTTTTATCAAAAGCTTTATAAGGTGATTAATATTAACTTCCGATCAGAACACGCTTTCAACTTAGAGCGAAACAAAAATTCAACCAGGTAATGAGTACAGCTAGTTACCTCCGTCACGTTTTCACTCCTTTGTGTATGTTTGTTTGTTTGTGTGTTTGTCAGCAAGATTTCTCGAAAACGGACGAATGTATTTGGACGAAAGCTGGTATACATTTGGACTATGACCCAACTTACTAAAGATTAGTTTTTGAAGGGGTAAAAGTCAAAGGTCAAGGTCACAGCAAGGTCACGAAAATAAAAACACCTCTACTGTTAACGTGGAAACCAATTTTTCACACTATATTTGCTCTATAACTCAGTGAAAAAAACAATCGGATTTTGATGAAACTTGCAGAACTTATGTAGAATATTATTCCTCATTATTCTGCCAAACATGTTCTGTGTCCGTTGATAATAACGGACATACAGGCACATTTTCGTATTTTTTTAGGGCCGAATTTAATCAGCGCTGCGTGGCGGAGGTATGCGCTCTACTGAGTCCCCCTCTAGTTTTCTTACTTACTTATTGTTAATAGGCACTCTGCCTGTTAACAATATTTTGGCCGTAGTCCCAACAATATTTCAGGTTCAGCCAGCTTAAGAGATTTAGGTTAGTTTTAAAATAAAAAATAAAATTAGTTATGTTAAACATTCTAACCAATACTGTTAGTGAAAGGATTTATTTGTTTATTTTTTATTAAGCTAAAAGCTACACAATGGGTTATCTGTGTTGTGCCCACCACGAATATCAGAACCCGGTTTTTAGCGGTATGAACCCTCAGACTTGTTGCTGAACCATTGTGGAGCATAATGAATGTAAAACGATAAGAATAATAGAGTATATTTTAACCTATGGAACATAAAAATACTAACATTCAATCCTCCATGGTATTAAATGTCTATATTTTAACCTATGGAACATAAAAATACTAACAATCAGTCCTCCACTGTATTAAATGTCTATATTTTAACCTATGGAACATAAAAATACTAACAATCAGTCCTCCACTGTATTAAATGTCTATATTTTAACCTATGGAACATAAAAATACTAACAATCAGTCCTCCACTGTATTAAATGTCTATATTTTAACCTATGGAACATAAAAATACTAACAATCAATCCTCCACTGTATTAAATGTCTATATTTTAACCTATGGAACATAAAAATACTAACAATCAGTCCTCCACTGTATTAAATGTCTATATTTTAACTTATGGAACATAAAAATACTAACAATCAGTCCTCCACGGTATTAAATGTCTATATTTTAACCTATGGAACATAAAAATACTAACAATCAGTCCTCCACGGTATCAAATGTCTATATTTTAACCTATGGAACATAAAAATACTAACAATCAGTCCTCCATGGTATTAAATGTCTATGTCAACAGATATTCACACATGTAAAGGTCAATGGAGCTCGCCCAACCAGTCATCCTCGTTATGGCTGTTTTCCTGTAACTTACATCGGTGGCCGATCAGACAATCACGACCTTGTGTTGATGATATCATCGCATCTCGTGCGATAGCTGTGCTCTGGGGAAACTCCATCCTGGTTCCAATTTAACAATTTTTTATTTCACGTGAATAACAGCCGCCATATTCGGATGCGTAGTCAGCTGGTTCAACTTGATGTGTAGTCAGCTGGATCAACTTAGTTAGGATGCTTTAATTCTTCGTTATGGAAAAAACGTAACTTTTTTATAAAATTTTATAAATTGTTGTCGTCGTTATTTTGTTTATTACTATTTTTTTTACGTTAACATTCATTTATTGATTTATTAAAATTTCAATTTAATGCTCAACTGGCTCCACTTTACGAATCCTTCATAAAATCAGTTGTGTATAACTTTAGAGAAGAGTGGCATCTGAAATAAATTACTGCGATATATGTTAGTGTTTAGATTATTAACCTTCATTTCCAAATTGAAAGATTAGTGAAGTATTATGCTTGATTTTGTCAAATGATCGCTAAATCTACCACAATATTTCAATCCTAAAAATTGCATGTGTTTTGTGTTTTTAAGTATTATTTTTCATACATTTTGTATATGAAGGTTAAAACTTTTTGATTCTGATGTTTCATTTTCGCGTATGAAAAAATATCATTTTTAATGTCAAATCATGATTGGCTGGTTTAAAGAAATGGTGTCAGATCTATTTTTATTATTATTATTATTTCACGTGTCTACACGATTCGTTTATTCTTAAATTGGAAAAAATGGAGGCTTAACATCAACAACTTGAATATATTCTTGCCTGTTTTTTACTTTCTCGAATATTAAAACTTTTTCAGCACAGCACTCCAAACGGCAACGCTAAAATCCGGGTTTCATTACCCGTAGTGGGCAGAGCATAGATACCTCATTGTGTAGCTTTGCGCTTAACAGCAAACAATCCAATTTTTCAGAAGTAACAAAGTTTATAAGAATGATTTAAGCGAGATATTTTTAGATACCAAAATTGTTTATCTAAGATATTTCTATATTAAGCCTAAAAGAAATAATGTACTTGTTGTTAAACTATCTAAAAATCAGAAAATAGAAATCAGTGAATGTTTATTTAAATATTAAATTTCCAAATGAAAAAAATATTTTTGTCTCCTTTCGTGTGTTTTCTGTTTTGTTCTAGCATATATAACTAAATTAATTAAAATAAGTCAAAGACAGATTGTTCCTTTATTTTACTCATCCCATGAGACTTTTTATTAGACGTAACCTTTTCAGCTCACTATTTAATTATGTAGCTTGTTTTACTAGTTCAGACGTCTTTGCGAACCGTACAGTGTTTTACAAAAAGAAAGAAAAATTTTAAAAAAATGAAGAAAGAACGTTAAGACATTGTTTGAAGTTCACTAACTTTCCAAAGCCATTAAATCTTCTTTCATGTTTACCTGAAGTCTCTTTTTATTTACATTTATTTCTAATTCCTTTAATGCAGTATACTTTATTCCTGATTCATGGTAAAAAAAAAAAGATGTTAACAATATATATATTACTCATTAAATTGACTTAAAATATATAAATCTCTTGCCAATAATGTTATCCTTCATTTGTTTATTCTCTTAGTTCAAGTATCAGAATCTTTCGATCCATTTTTATTAATCCGTATTTCTGATAACACAACATAATTGATATTGGCAAAAACTCATGTTAGTAAAATAAAACTTGTAAAATTTAAGTATTATTGCTCGGAAAAAAAGTTCAAAAGCACAAATTTTAGTACTAAAGCGAAAAAGGCTTTTTTTCAGTATTAATCCATTCTTTAAAAACAAATTTTGTTAGATAATTGTTTCATCACCCAAAACCTGAATGGGTTGTATATGGATACAAATTATTTTCTGTTATTATAAGATAGATTGTTTTGGACAAACATAATAACTATTAGTTCATTTTCTTTTTTAAAATATGTAAATATGTACAAACACGAAGAAATTGTGGGTTGTGAAGAGCATATCGAATTTATCAAAAAGCAATTTCACAATATTGTGGTTTCAAATGTTTTGAGTTCCAATTTATTTTAAAGTTTAGCCTTCTCTTTCATCAGCTAAAACACTTTTAGTCGATACTATATTTATAATAAAAAAATTCTGGTTCGTCTTGAATGGCAAATGGATAAAATGATCACTTTTATAGGCTGTTTCGTGTTTAGGACTGTCATTATTAATTTTAGAAAAACGATAAGTAAATATTTAAACTTCTCTTTAGTTGCTTTCGTTTTCAATCTGTGTTGAGGGTAAAGCTTGTTAACTATCGGGTGATTGTAAGGACCGTTTTTTTTATTTGTTTTTTTAGAAATAACAATAATCTTTTTAGAATAGTTTCATTTTAAAAGTGTTTCCTAATTTCGTTCCACAAAAATAATCTACGACCACATTCGGAGGGCAACATTGTGAAAAAAGTAATATAATAGTTATCTGCGCGAGCCATAGCATTTTTCTTAACTAATCTATCTGTGACCATTCTCTGTCCGCCTCACCGAGCTTGCACATTTTCCTCAATCAAAATATATAACGTACTACCCGGATATCTCTTCAACGGATGAACACATTTGAAATAACTTGAACGTCTAAGCCTTAATGGTACTTAAGCTTATTTCTTGAGATCAATCTAACTCAATACTTTTAACCAGTTTTCGGTTATGGTATAAGTATCAAAGAAAAAAACTGAATAAGTCGATAACTAAACTTTTTCGAAATTCGAATATGATTTATAGTATTTTCGAATTAATTCGATCACTCGCCATCTCAAACAGTGGTAGCTAACACGTGTTTATTAATGTATAAGTACGTGTGTGTGGTGGTGGCGTGAGGAGATGGGAGGTAGCGTTTATGGAATTAATCTAACACTATTTTGATACAAACTAAGCCCATCGCAACATAACTAGTGTTATCGCAATGACTGATAAAAATATAATTACGTTACTAAGGTGAAGTTGCATGCTTCAGTAAACTTTTATTTTATTGCACACACATAAAATGTAACTTCCCATCCAAAGCTGTATGTGATAAAAGTAAAAGAGGCCTCAAAGAAAAGAAATGTGTCAGAAATGAAATAAACATATGTTATGATGCATTAAAAAATGCCTCAAATAAGAAAAAAACTAATTAATGTCAAATATGGAATACGTACCCATTGTGATTAAGTAAAATAGTGCCTCAAACATGAGAAAGATAATGTGAAAATGGAATAAATACTTCTTTTTTTATGAAGTAAAAAAGTGCTTCATACAGAGGAAGCTAATGTCAAATAGAGAATACATACCCGTTGTGATGAACTATAAAAATGCTTTGTAGAGGAGAAAACTCATGTCACAAATAGGATAAATACCTCTTGTACTGAAGTAAAAAGCTCCTCAAATAGGAGGAAACTAAAGTCTAAAATGGAATAAGTATACGTTGAAACGAAAGAATACAATAGATCTTCAATCGTGACTTAATTTTAAGTTTTTTCAATTAAAGATCATATAATGATATTAAAATATTTTCCATTTTACACTGGTACGAAACTAAACTTAGCCCCATATCGTAAACAAGAATATATTCAGCAGGCAGTCAAACTGTAGTCGCATTTTTTTCTGAAAATACTTTTACCTCTATGCTCATGGTTCCTGGTACCTTCATAGGGTGCATCGTCCAGCTTGGTTGTTAAATTCGCAGACACTGAAAAGGAGCGTCAGATGAGACGGATGCAGCAGATGGCAGGAAACATGGGCTTAATCAACCCATTTGTATTTAGCCAGTTCGGGGCGTATGGTGCTTATGCACAGGTAAGGAAAAAAACGGTTTTCACTTAAAACAATAGAAAATGTTGTTGTTGTTTTTTCATTTATGTTTTATCGACTTCTAAACGGATGACATTTCTGGTTGATAACTTTCAAATATCTGTGACCTTGCGTATATTGGAAATAGTTTTGCACTTACAAGATATTAAAATGTTCGTTTTGAGTCATATTCACAAATTTACCAATATTTAAAAAAAAGAAGGTAAAATAATATACTACTAGAAATGATTGCTTTCAAACTGAAATATATATTATTGGTGATGTACCTTATAGCAAAATGTAACTGTTGAATTATGTAGAAGTTTCTATATTTAATGAATTATTATATTACTTAGTAGATATAGAGAAAAAGAATGTACACTTCCATGGTAGCAAAACTGTTTATCATACCCTGACTGTGAATCCGAGGGTTCATGATTACAGTCCGGTTGCACACTATGCACTATGGGGGCGTGGATGCGCTAAAAGAGTGACAGTCAAATCCCAATATTCAGCCATACAAGATAGCCTAAAAGTCTGCGATGGTTGCTGTTGACTAGCTGCCTTCCCTCTAATCAGTTAATTCAACATCAGGACGGTTATGCATAGTTATCTCTTCAGTAGCTTTATAAGAAATTTTGCAGTAGACAATGGAACTCTCTATAACAGTCTGAAAACAGTTGAATATACAGATTTTTAGATTGAAAAGTGATTAATTTTATTTTCAGCAATATAGATGTGTATTTGTTAAATTTCAGAAATTAAAAATTAAGGTTATATATTTTTACTTTAGATCTTAAATTTTTAGCTATAATATAGAATATTTGCTTTCTGTACCGACCAAATAATGTTTACAGATAAAAGAGAAACCAATTACCATTCAGTATCAGGTATGTGAATAAACGTTACTACATTAATACAGAGCGAAACGAGACGAGAAAGATATTCGCATCATATGATGAGAGTAGAAAATTTATGCGTGCTTCCAGTTAAGCTTTCTTAACTACGATATGTAACACAGTAAAGCCACTGATCTACTTTTAACTAAAATGTTTCTCAGATTTCATATCTTTTAACTTGCCTCATTTCACATTCATTAAAAATCATTTACCCAAGAGATTGTGGAAAATTAATATTCTATAATGTTCTAATTAGGAAGAGGTTATAATTAATTCTGAAGTATAATCATTAAAAGACAGAAACTTTCCTAAAGATAAGCAACGTTGATGTATTTCAAGCCGAATATTTCCACTTCGATTCGCCTACTTTTATATAATCATATCACATTTTTCATTTATTACTGTCAACACCACAAAAGAAAAATTCATTTGTGAGCAATGACACATCTTTTCACACATTCTGTTAGAATTTGTTGGTTGAGAGTATGAAACTGTTGTTTAATTTTGTTATTATTTGGTTTCGGTCACTTATTACTATCTTTGTTAGTTCTGCAATACTTCCAAAGTTTATATTATCAGTGTAACAATATCCTTTCGCGTTGTTTAAGTGAATTGCAACAAATGCAGACATACAACTCGTAACAATTAATGGTCTAATTGTATAATACAAAACACCTTTCTATAATGTTAGTAATCTGGTACAATATTGACTTTATAATGTTACACTTATAAATATTTTCCTCACTCGGGCACTTTATTACTATCTTAAAATCTAGTGAGTAATACATAACGTTCTAAAGAACAATAGTTGCCTTTAGAACATTAAATATTATAGAAGTATGGTAAACTTTAGCTTATTTAATCGGAACATACGATTACTACAAGATTTCAACTCGTAGACGAGATAAACCTTTTAGTGGCACTTGATCATGTAGAAAGGGTCTCGAGTATAACTTCAACCCATTTATGAGCACGCTTTTATGAAAGATTCGTTGTTTTGTGTACTCCATTATCGTTAAAACAAAGAGCAGCTTTGTGAATTTTAATGGGATTTCATGTGATGTATGCCCAGAGTTTGCTATATGTTTTTATTAGGATAATTTGACCAAAAAAAAACAACAACAACTGGTCTTAAATAGTTAGGATAAAAACAGCTAGATGATTTTGCTTATTAATGTTATGTGTTTGCTGTAATTTTATTCCCACCCGTTTGATAAAATTATACGTGGGATATCTCCTGTACTTTAAGTAGTCCTAAATAATTCTAATTATCACACACGAAGTTTACTAAAGCAGAATAAAGAATTTATCTTCAAAGTTAAGAATTATTTCTGATTTATACTCGAACTTCCTTTCTGATATTTTGAGTTGGAAGAGTATAGTTTATTGCGTTTAATAATAAACAAATGTAGCTACATGTAGCT